TGATTGCTTGTGTTGCAGTCGAAACGTCGTGAGAATTGTATTGTTTTATATTTTTTATTAATTCATTGTTTCCCTTCTACGTGGTGGTGACTTTACCGAAAGAACCAAGAATATGAATCCCTGCAGTCACGAAAGCTTTAAATAAAACAAATTACTGTACCGTACTTGCCGCCCTCGTGGACAGCTCCTTTGTGACGTCACGTCCCGGGCACGTGGGCGCCACGTGATTCGCCATCGACAGAGATCGACCGGATCTGCCCCCGCGCGAGAGGTGATTGGGACAGAGACAAGGAGCCAGACCAGGGGGGGGAGGAGTGGTCGTCAACTTGCGGCTCCTGAGCCGCCTGTGGCTCTTTAAGGAACTACTTCGTGACGCGTTATTTATTAAGGAGCCACCGTGGCCTCGTGCTGACTGCACGCGGTGCATTGCGGCCTCTTGGGATATATGAGGTTTTCTTTGTTGTTGTTGTTGTTGCTGTTGCTGAATTCGAGATGTTATTTTCCCCCCTCTCTCTTATTGTTTATTTTGGTTGCAGGCCTTTAAGCCAGACGAACAGAAGTTGAGGTCAAGGCAGGTTTGACACCGTGGGATGTGTTATTGGTAGGTGTGTGTGTGTTTGTACGTATATTGCATGTGCAATACACGTACACACACTGCAAGTTGGCACAGTAGGGGGCATTAGTCATCTCAGTCAGTCGACCCGTGGCACCTGGGTCTGTCCCGTGACCTGCCAGCGGGCGTTCGACACTTCACGTGGCCTCAAGGTGCACATAGCCTGGCACAAGCGCCGCGTGGAGACGTCACCGCCACTTAGTGGCGAATGGCGGTTGTTGTTGTTGTAAACTGCATGTATGTCTGTTCAAAGCTATGCGGGTGATGTTTGTTTGTTGTACGTGTGTAAATGTATATTTGCTTGTGCAGAAGTTTGTGTGTGTGTGTAGATGTGTGTATTTGTGTATTAGTGTTTGTGAACGTGTCCGTCTTTTAGGTCTACTCAGCCTCAAACGAGGACCTGGTGTGGTGTGTGACCATCAGCGACGAGGAGCCAAGGCCGTGGCGCTGATGGTTTGCACACCGCACCTCGTGTCCCGTAACCGACCTTTCATCGCCGTTTCTCACCCAACAGCACTTACCCCGACAGTCTGTCGAAGGCTACACGGGGGAACTTTGTCTTTGGAGCGGTGGCGCACCGGTTAGCGCGCCGCGCTACGACCCGCGCCAAGCGAGCCGCCGTTAAACTCCCGGTCATGGCTGCCATCAGTGGCGCGTGCTGTCCGAACTGGTGCTCTGCTTTTCAAAACCACTGCCATGGTGGTACGTCGAGTGGTGCGCTCCTGAGCCCCCCCCCGCCGCGCGTCCCTCCCCCCCCTCCCTCCCGCCCCTCCCTCCCGCCCCCCCCCCCCGCTCCCCCCGCTCCCCCGTGGCGCCGTCTCCCGAGCTGACGAGATTGGAAGTGAAGGAGCGTAACTGCGATAGTGCCGCTCCCTGATTACAATCGATATGCGCAGTCGAGTACATTTCCGACTTGGATCAGAACACGGGGGAACGGGCGATGAGGCCGACACGCACGCGCACGGGCAGGTACACACGCGCACGCGCGCACGCACGCACGCGCACACACGCACACGCACGCACGCAGGTACAAACAAAGACAAAGATCCCCCGTATAGCCTTCAACAGACTGTTGGAGCAAAGGCTGTGAGCGAGCGCCGATGAAGGTCGGCACGGCACACGAGGGGGGGGAGGGGTGGCCAGCACTACGCCCGGCCGCCTTTGTCTCCCCCGGTGGCGAGGTTTGCACATCGCACCAGGTATTACATTTTTTGTTCATAGGCTGAGTCGACCTAGGCGAGGCCCAGAACCGGTTCGGATAACCGTCACCGGCGTTGGCCGTGAGCGAGAGAATCGAACTCGGCTCGCCGGGTTCCGTGGCTCGGTGCGCCAACCGCGGCGCCACCGCTCCGCACGAGAGCACGACTCAGAGGGACCAGGGGCAAGTCACGTGGTGAGAAACGGGCGCCACAAAACAATGTGCCCAAGCTCCGCGATCCTCTATATCAAGCTGTTTCCTCCCCCCCTTCAGCTCATTCACAATCCCACTGGGGGGGGGGGGGGGGGGGGGGGGGAGGGTGGCGCGCACGCACGCGCGCATTTACGACTCACGCTCGCAACTGGCGGTGACGTCACCACGGCGCCCGTGCCAGGCTAGGTGCACTTTGAGGCCACGTGAAATGTCGACGGCCCGCTGGCATGAGGTCATGGGGCAGACCCAGGTGCATTTATATTTTACGCACTCGCACACACACACTCGCATCACACACTCGCACGCACGCTCACACTCGCTCGCTCTCTCACCACACTTTCACCACACACTCCCACCACACTCACTCTCTCACCACCCTCACTCTCTCACCACACTCTCGCTCACTCTCTCACCACACTTTCACCACACTCGCGCGCTCTCTCACCACACTTTCACCACACACTCCCACCACACTCACTCACTCTCTCACCACACTCTCGCTCGCTCTCACCACACTTTCACCACACCCTCGCGCGCTCTCTCACCACACTTTCACCACACACTCCCACCACACTCTCGCGCGCTCTCTCACCACACTCTCGCTCGCTCTCTCACCACACTTTCACCACACACTCCCACCACACTCACTCAGTCTCTCACCACACTCTCGCTCGCTCTCTCACCACACTTTCACCACACACACGCACCACGCGCTCGCCACACTCTCACCACACACTCGCGCGCACGGCGCTAACGAGGTGCTGCTGGTGGTGGTGGCGGTGTGTCGGGATGGCTGCTGCTATTCTCCCCGCGAGCGCGGGAGACGGAATTGATTTTTAGCGGCGCGGGATGAGCTAGTGGGGAGCCAACATCGTCGTTTGTAAATAAATACTGACAGGGCCCTATTAGCTAATCCGATAACCGCTTTGTGCCTCGTCCCCACCCCCTCCCCCGTGTGCCAGAGCCACCACAGCCTCAGATATTAAACTCTTGTTTTTGTTTTAGCAGGTAAGGCACCGCTGAACCGCGTAGCCACCCTGGTCCATCACAATTGAGAGCTCAGACGAAGCGGGCTTCGTCATCGCCGTCGCGTGGACAATTAAAACAGCGGTGGCCAAATAACTCTAAACGCACGACTGCCAGTCGCGGCTAACGTCAGTAGCGAATGTCTGAAGGAGGGGGGGGGGGAGGGGGGGCGGTCTCTGGGTCTCCACCCAGAGACCGCCCCCCCCCTTCAGCCTCGGAAAGTCCGCCACAAAGTGGCGCTATGTGACGTCGATTCTGCATGTGGAGAGAGAGAGAACCCGGAGGGCACGGAGAAAAATCCACGCGACCACGGGGAGAGAGACGCGCCGCGTAACGCAAGATTCTCGTGCCCGTGTCTCACTGCCCTCCCCCCCTCATCACCACATAGCCCCCCTTTCCCACAACCGCCCAGACCCCCACTGCCGCCTCCCCCACGTATAGATCCCCCTAATGGTGTAGGTACCCAATCAAAGACGAAAATCCCCCCCCCCCCCGATAGCCTTCAATGGACTCTCATGAGCAAGAGTGTTGTTAGCGAGCGCCCTTGCACGGGACGGCGTGTGGCCAGCGTCATTCCCCGGCTGCCTTGTTTTTTTTTTGCCGGTTCTGATGGGTTATTATATTTTGACACTAAAAAAAAATTAAAGCCAAAGATCCTCCGTATAGCCTGTTGTGGCAAGTGCTGTTAGCGAGCACCTATGAAGGCCGGAACGGTACACGAGGTGGTGGGTGGCCAGCACCACGCCCGACCGCTTTTGTCTCCCCAGTGGCGATGTTTACACACCGCACCAGTTACTCATTTGAGGATGAGTCGACCTAGGGGAGGCCCGGGACCGGTTCAGATAATCGTCACTGGTGTTGGCCGTGAGCGGGAATCGAACCCGGGTCGCCAGGTTCATAGCGCAGCGCGCCAACAGACTACAATACCGCTCCACTCCACTACGTACTGTACACACACACACACTGACACACACACTGACACACACACACTGACACACACACACACTGACACACACACACTGACACACACACACACTAACACACACACACACACACTGAAACACACACACTGACACACACACACTGACACACACACACTGACACACACACACTGACACACACACTGACACACACACACACTGACACACACACACTGACACACACACTGACACACACACTGACACACACACACTGACACATACACACACACTGACACACACACACTGACACACACACACTGACACACACACTGACACACACACACTGACACACACCACACCGCACCAGGTGATCCTTACGGCGGTACCCCGGGGTACCAAATAATACAAACTCTCCGAGGCAATTAAATATTTTATTTTTGGGACACTATTTTTTTCCAGGGGTGTACTTCACTCCGCGACTGGGGCACCAATCAATCCGAAATCAGTGCCACACTCCGCGATGTCTCCACGCCAAACATCAGCATGTTATCGAAAAATTCAACTCTGAATAGTGCATCGTGAGTACAGCTCGTCGAGATGAGTCGATTGCCGCATCGCCGACCATCAACAGACTAACAGTGACTGCATCACGGACATTATGCGAGAGCCGTGGTAGCATGGTTACCCCGGGGGTATCCGCCATAAGGTTCCAGTAATTCATTTAAGGCCGAGTCGAACTAGGGGAGGCCCAGGGCCGGTTCATATAATTCGTCACGATGTTTGTTGGCCCTGAGCGGGAATCGAACTCGGTCCGCCGGCTTTGTGGCGGCGGTGCAGCGGTCAGCGATACGCTGCGCTTCGAACCCCGGCGACCCGAGTTCGATTCCTGCTCACGGCCACCAACACCGGTGAACCGGTCCTGGGCCTCCTCTAGGTCGACTCAGCACCAAACGAGTACCTGGGGAGACGAAGGCGGTCTGCGCGTGTTGTAGTTGTGGCCACTCACTCCCTCGTGTAGCTTTGCCGACCTTCATAGCAGCTGCCTCTCGCCAACAGCACTTGCCACAACAGTCTGTTCAAGGCTATACGGGGGATCTTTGTCTTTGTGTCGCTTACTTATTTTGTGTACACACAAGTTGCCCGAAGCGTTGGCGACTGCGTTGAGTGATTTTGTTAAATTGCCCCTTTTACGATGACGTGTTTTTTTCTTCCGTTTGGCGAACTTGTTGCTCGCGAACTTTGTTGTGTTGCGCGTGACTCTCTCGCGTGTTGCGCGTGACTCTCGCGTGTTGCACGTGACTCTCTCGCGTGTTGCGCGTGACGCTCTCGCGTGTTGCACGTGACGCTCTCGCGTGTTGCAAGTGACTCTCTCGTGTGTTGCACGTGACGCTCTCGCGTGTTGCACGTGACTCTCTCGCGTGTTGCGCGTGACGCTCTCGCGTGTTGCACGTGACTCTCTCGCGTGTTGCACGTGACTCTCTCGCGTGTTGCGCGTGACGTTCTCGCGTGTTGCACGTGACGTTCTCGCGTGTTGCACGTGACGTTCTCGCGTGTTGCACGTGACGTTCTCGCGTGTTGCACGTGACGTTCTCGCGTGTTGCGCGTGACTCTCGCGTGTTGCGCGTGACTCTCGCGTGTTGCGCGTGACTCTCGCGTGTTGCACGTGAAGCTCGTGTGTTGCGCGTGACTCTCTCGCGTGTTGCTCGCGACTTTGTTGTGTTGCGCGTGACGCTCTCGCGTGTTGCACGTGACTCGCTCGCGTGTTGCTCGAAGTTCTCTGGCCGACTTCGCGATCAACGCTGCTGCTGCTGCTGAAGTTTTTCAATAATTTCCCGGAGTTCCGTCCAAGCGGCTCGCGTGGCACCGCCGACTCTGCACGGCTCGGACCCACCACCACCATCACCACAACAACAACAACAACAACCACCACAACAACCACCACCACCATCACCACAACAACAACAACAACCACCACAACAACCACCACCACCATCACCACAACAACCACCATCACCACAACAACCACCATCACCACAACAACAACAACAACCACCACAACAACAACAACCACCATCACCACCACCATCACCACAACAACAACAACCACCATCACCACCACCATCACCACAACAACCACAACAACAACCACCATCACCACCACCATCACCACAACAACCACAACAACAACCACCATCACCACCACCATCACCACAACAACCACAACAACAACCACCATCACCACCACCATCACCACAACAACCACAACAACAACCACCATCACCATCACCACCATCACCACAACAACCACCACAACAACCACCACCACAACAACAACCACCATCACCACCACCATCACCACAACAACCACAACAACAACAACCACCATCACCACCATCACCACAACAACCACCACAACAACCACCACCACAACAACAACAACCACCATCACCACCACCATCACCACAACAACCACCACAACAACCACCACAACAACAACCACCACCACCATCACCACAACAACCGCCACCACAACAACAACAACCACCACAACAACAACAACCACCATCACCACCACCACCACCACAACAACAACAACCACCACAACAACCATCACCATCACCACAACAACCACCACCACCACAACAACAACAACCACCATCACCACCACCATCACCACAACAACCACCACAACAACCACCATCACCACGACCATCACCACAACAACCACCATCACCACAACCATCACCACAACAACCACCACAACAGCAACCACCATCACCACAACCATCACCACAACAACCACCACAACAACCACCACCACCATCACCACAACCATCACCACAACAACCACCACCACCACAACAACAACCACCATCACCACCACCATCACCACAACAACCACCACCACAACAACAACCACCATCACCACAACAACCACCACAACAACCACCACCACAACAACAACCACCATCACCACCACCATCACCACAACCATCACCACAACAACCACCACCACAACAACAACAACCACCATCACCACCACCATCACCACAACCATCACCACAACAACCACCACCACCACAACAACAACAACCACCATCACCACCACCATCACCACAACCATCACCACAACCATCACCACAATAACCACCACCACCACGACAACAACCACCATCACCACCACGACCACAACAATGCGTGTCCCACCAATCAGGCCACGCTCACCAATCGAAAGAGCAATTGTAAATGAATTAATGAGCCAATTAACGCGTCGTGCGGCGAAGGGGGAGAGGGTGGAGGGGTGGGGGGAGGAGGGGAGGGGTGTTTACGTTGTGAGTGGTCACAGCTCACACCCCCCCAAACCCCATACAGCCCCCTCTTGGGGGGGGGCAAACCCCCACGACCACCCATATGGTCAGCCTCACCCCCCCTCCCACCAACCCACCCACCCACCCCCTACAGCCCCCCCCCAACCCCCACCCCCGCCACGGCCCCCCTCTTCCCTCCCCTATCCCCTCCAGCCCCCTACAGAGTGGCGTCCCCAAACCCCCATCCAACGCGTCTCTAGGATACGGTTACCACGGTAACTGTTGCCCGGGTAACGGAGCAACGCGGGTGTACTGCGAGTACTGTACGATGCGGGGGGGGGGGGGAGTGTGGGGGGGTGATGGAGGGAGGGGTCGGTAATGGGTGATCGCAGCTAATTAACGCGCGCACCGCTCCGAGTACACGTGACGAGGGGAGGGGGTAGAGGGGGGGGTAGGGGGGTAGGGGAGGGGGGGGGGCTCTTTGTTATTGTCTGCAGTTATCGCCACTTAGCACGGAGGTTTGTAAGCGAGGCGCAGAGTTGACGACGAAGTTGCGTTCGACTTTCTCGACAAACAAAACAAAACAGGGAGCCACCGCCACCCACCGCCACCGCCCTCCCCTCCCTTGGCCCCCCACGCGGGCGCCCTGGGGCAAAGCGCCGTGAAGGGGCGGCGCGGCGCGCCCCTCGTCACGTGGCCGTGCGGCCGGGCCGCCTCTGTCTCTCGCCACGTGGGAGAGACAAAGGCGGCCGGGCGTGGCGTTCGAGGCCGAGGTCGGCGTCAGGGGGAGGTGTCCGAACGGCCGGCTGTAGACGTTCCGTGGACCGGGCCACGCCGGCGAGGTTCCCGACTCTCTGCCCGCCGGGTTCGTAACGCGGCGCGCTGACCGCAGCGCCACCGCTCTCCCACGCGCTCGCCGCGCGCGTCACGTGGGCGTGAGGGTCCTGTGACGTCACGGCGTCCTCGCCGACGCCGTGACGTCAAGGCGGCGCTCTTGCCCGCACGCGGCTTCAGTCGGTGGTGGAAATTCCACGTTCCTATGGCGAGGGCAAGTTTTGCTGGGTGCGAATGTTCAAACGGATGGGAATCCCTAATGACGTGTAACGGCGAGGGGTTACCGTGTAAGATGAACCACGTCTCTCGCTCTCTCTCTCTCGACTCCTCACCGCTCTTACCACTCACCTCTCACCGCGTTCCGCGTGGAATAGCAGGAGAGGTGTCTCCCCGAGTCTCTGTCCGTGTCTCTGTGTCTCTCTCTTGTGTTTGTCGGTTTGCATGTCCGCGTGTACATCCCCCAGTCTATGCGTCTCTTTAGGGGGCTCTGCGTCTCTGTGTCCCTGTCCGTGTCTCTGTGGTGTCTCTGTCCCTCTGTGGTGTCTCTGTCCCATCGTCAGCGTGTCTCTGCGGTGTGTGTGTGTCTCTCTATGCGAGTCTCTCTATCTCGCCATGCTCATTGGGCCTCTGGTCCCACGGGAGGGAGAGGCATCTGCCCCCCCCCCCCACTTATCCCTGCCCCCCCCTCTTCACCCCCCCTCTTATCCCCCCCTCTTATCCCCCCCCTCTTATCCCCCCCCCCCCCCCCCCCCGCCACGGCTCAAAGCCCCTTATCGCGTCTACCCCACGTTGGGACACGTGGTCAGTGCGGAACCTACAGAGACAAAGATCCCCCGCGTAGCCTTCCCAGACTGTTGGGGCAAGTGCCGATATCGAGTAGCACCGATGAAGGTCGGCACCGCACACGAGAGGGTGGTGTGGCCAGAATCACGCCCGGCCGCCTTTGTCTTCCTAGCGGCGGTGTTTACAGACAGGCAAAGGCAAAGATCCACCCCTATTGCCTTGACAGACTGTTGGGGCAAGTGCTGTTAGCGACCGCCTATGAAGGACCGGCACCGCACACGAGGTGTTGACACACCGACACAACAACAACAACCGCCATTCGCCACTAAGTGACGGTGACGTCCCCACGGTGCGTGTGCCAGGCTAGGTGCACGTTTCGGTCAACGTGAAGTGTCGAACGCCCGCTGGCAGGAGGTCACGGGATAGACCCAGGTGCCTATGGGTCGACTGACTGAGATGACTGAGATGACTGGCCGATGCACCATCTGTGCCCCCTACTGTGCCAACTTGCTGTGCTTTAGTCACCCGGCGCTCCGCTCGTTGTTGTGAGCGTCGCTCCTCCGCCCTCCGTTGTTGCTGGAGGGCGACTGCCTCCAACTGCCCAGCAGCGTCCTTCACGAGCCTCCTCCACAGTGGCCGATCTTCACACCGCTGGTACCAGTCATCGGCAAGTCCACTCACACTGACACACAAAGACAAAAACAAAGATCCCCCGTAAAGCCTGTTGGGGCAAGTGCTGTTAGCGAGCTCCTATGAAGGCCAGAAAGGTACACGAGGGGATGGGTGGCCAGCACCCCGCCCGACCGCCTTTGTCTTCCGAGTGGCGATGTTTACACACCGCGCCAGGTACTAATTTCAGGCTGAGTCGACCTGGGGGAGGCCCAGGACCGGTTCAAATAATCGTCACCGGTGTTGGCCGTGAGCGGAAATCGAACTCGGATCGCCAGCTTTGTAGCGCAGCGCGCTAACCGCTACACCACCGCTCCCCACACACACCAAAGGCACACAATGGCACACACAAAGACACACACTGACACACACAAAGACACACACACTGACACACACACACTGACATACCCTCACTCCGCCTCCCATCTCAATCTCCTCGTGTCACTCTTAATTCAGGCACAAAGCTCCCATCTCTTTCTCTCCCCCCCCCCCGCAACTCACTCCCCCACCTCGCCCCCCCCTCACTTACTCCGCACTCTCTCACTCACTCACCCTCACCAGCCCTCACTCACCCTTGATCAACACTGCCACTCACCCGCACTCACTCACCCCACATACCCTAACGCGCGCTCACAACTTCTATCGTCGCAGTCCTCATGCGCCTTACCATCTGTTCCCTCCGTGTCACTCACTCTCACCATCTCCCACCATCTCTCACCATCTCTCCACTCCTTCCCCATCTCTCACCGTCTCTCAACATCTCTCACCATCTCTCACAATCTCTCACCATCTCTCCACTTTTTCCCCATCTCTCAACATCTCTCACCATCTCTCACCATCTCTCACCATCTCTCAACATCTCTCAACATCTCTCCACTCCTTCCTCATCTCTCACCATCTCTCACCATCTCTCACCATCTCTCAACATCTCTCACCATCTCTCACCATCTCTCAACATCTCTCACCATCTCTCAACATCTCTCACCATCTCTCACAATCTCTCACCATCTCTCCACTTCTTCCCCATCTCTCAACATCTCTTACCATCTCTCACCATCTCTCAACATCTCTCAACATCTCTCAACATCTCTCCACTCCTTCCCCATCTCTCACCATCTCTCACCATCTCTCACCATCTCTCAACATCTCTCACCATCTTTCACCATCTCTCAACATCTCTCACCATCTCTCAACATCTCTCAACATCTCTCACCATCTCTCACCATCTCTCCACTTCTTCCCCATTTCTCACCATCTCTCACCATCTCTCACCATCTCTCAACATCTCTCACCATCTCTCACCATCTCTCAATATCTCTCACCATCTCTCACCATCTCTCAACATCTCTCACCATCTCTCACCATCTCTCAACATCTCTCACCATCTCTCAACATCTCTCAACATCTCTCACCATCTCTCACCATCTCTCAACATTTCTCACCATCTCTCACCATCTCTCAACATCTCTCACCATCTCTCACCATCTCTCAACATCTCTCACCATCTCTCACCATCTCTCAACATCTCTCACCATCTCTCAACATCTCTCACCATCTCTCACCATCTCTCAACATCTCTCACCATCTCTCACCATCTCTCAACATCTCTCACCATCTCTCACCATCTCTCAACATCTCTCACCATCTCTCACCATCTCTCAACATCTCTCAACATCTCTCCACTCCTTTCCAGCCGCCCCCACTTCCTTTCTCTTTCTCCAAGGCTCTCTTTCTTTCTGTCCCACGCTCTCTCGGTCTCTCCCCACAATCTCTCCGTGTCTCTCTCGCCACAATCTCTCCGTGTCTCTCTCTCTCTCCCCACAATCTCTCCCACAATCTCTCCGTGTCTCTCTCCCCACAATCTCTCCGTGTCTCTCTCTCTCTCTCTCTCCCCACAATCTCTCCCCACATTCTCTCAGCGTCTCTCTCCCCACATTCTCCCCGTGTCTCTCTCTCCCCACAATCTCTCCCACATTCTCCCCGTGTCTCCCTCCCCACATTCTCTCTCTGTCTCTCTCCCCACATTATCTCCGTGTCTCTCTCCCCACATTCTCCCCGTGTCTCTCTGTCCCCACAATCTCTCCCAAATTCTCTTCGTGTCTCTCTCCCCACAATCTCTCCGTGTCTCTCTCTCTCTCCCCACAATCTCTCCCACATTCTCTCCGTGTCTTTCTCCCCACATTCTCTCCCTGTCTCTCTCCCCACATTATCTCCGTGTCTCTCTATTCCCACAATCTCTCCCAAATTCTCTCCGTGTCTCTCTCCCCACAATCTGTCCGTGTCTCTCTCTCTCTCCCCACAATCTCTCCCACATTCTCTCCGTGTCTTTCTCCCCACATTCTCTCCCTGTCACTCTCCCCACATTATCTCCGTGTCTCTCTATTCCCACAATCTCTCCCAAATTCTCTCCGTGTCTCTCTCCCCACAATCTCTCCGTGTCTCTCTCTCTCTCCCCACAATCTCTCCCACATTCTCTCCGTGTCTCTCTCCCCACATTCTCCCCGTGTCTCTCTGTCCCCACAATCTCTCCCAAATTCTCTCCGTGTCTCTCTCGCCACACCCCTCCCACGTGCAGCGTCTCTCTCCCTGTGGCTCCAACACATTCTCGCTGTCTCTCTCCCTGTCACTTCCCCCCCCACCCACCCACTCCCCCTACCTCCCCCCCCCCCCCCTCCATCCCACCTCAACACGAGTGATGTGTTTCGCGTTTGGCCGAACTCGTAACCCTACGCCTCGCTGCGTCGCCTCCACACACCATTTCATCCGCCGGCGAGCAGACCCCGAGAAATGAGCGGTGCATAGGGAAGGTTGAGATGGGGGGGGGGGTCGGGGGAGTCGGGGGGATGATAGCCGAGCTAAAGGGGGGGGGGTGATGGGGGAGGAGGGGGGTAGGGAGGAAGGAGTCTCTCGATTCGCTTGACTCCATTGGAAAATGAAGAGACGAGGAGGAGGAGGAATGGGAGAGCGCCTTTAACGAAGCGGCCGTGATGACCATTTAACTTCTGTTTCACCTCCATCTTCACACCCGCCCCCCCCGACCCCCCGCCGCCCCCTCCCCCGGCCCCCACCCCTTGCCCATTCCGCTCTGCGCCCCCCTCAAGCCCCAAGCACCTCGCTCCCTCCTGTGTGTGTGTGTGTGCCGAAACAGCTTTTGTTCGGCCGGATCGAGGGGGCTGGACGGGCGCGGCACGGGCTAGAGAAGAGATGGAGTGATGTGGTACAGGAGGACGTGGAGCTGAGTGGACTTGCCGATGACTGGTACCAGTGGTGTCAAGATCGGCCTCTGTGGAGGAGGCTCGTGAAGGACGCTACTGGGCAGTTGGAGGCAGTCGCCCTCCAACAACAACGGAGGGCGGAGGAGCGACGCTCAGAACAACGAGCGGAGCGCCGGGTGGCTAAAGCACAGCAGGTTGGCACAGTAGGGGGCACAGGCGGTGCATCAACCAGTCATCTCAGTCAGTCGACCCGTGGCACCTGGGTCTGCCCCGTGACCTGCCAGCGGGCGTTCGACACTTCACGTGGCCTCAGGGTGCACATAGCCTGGCACAAGCGTCGTGGTGACGTCACCGCCACTTAGTGGCGAATGGCGGTTGTTGTTGTTGTTGTAGGTGTGTGAATGTGTAGGTGTGAAGGTGTGTGTTTGTGAATGTGTGTGAAGGTGTGTGTGTGTGTGAGAAGTTGTGTGAAGGTGTGTAGGTGTGTGTGAAGGTGTGTAGGTGTGTGTGTGTATGTGTGTGTGTGAAGGTGTGTGTGAAGGTGTGTGTGTGAATGTGTAGGTGTGTGTGTGTGTAGTTGTGTGTGTGATGGTGTGTGTGTGTGAAGGTGTGTGTAGGTGTGTGTGTGTGTGTGTGAAGGTGTGTGTGTGAATGTGTGTGTGTAGGTGTGTGAATGTGTGTGTAGGTGTGAAGGTGTGTGTGTGTGTGAATGTGTGTGAAGGTGTGTAGGTGTGTGTGTGAAGGTGTGTGAAGGTGTGTAGGTGTGTGTAGGTGTGTGTGTAGGTGTGTGTGTGTGAAGGTGTGTGTAGGTGTGTGTGAAGGTGTGTGTGTGAATGTGTGTGTGTAGGTGTGTGTAGGTGTGTGAATGTGTGTGAAGGTGTGAAGGTGTGTGTGTGTGAAGGT